CGGCATACATTTGCCCTGTAAACCCTACACTGATGTTTTTTTAAGGTTAAGTGCCACTGCCCGGTATACCCTACACTGACGTTTTTTTAAAGTTAAGTGCCACTGCCCGGTATACATTTGTCCGGTATACCCTACATTGATGTTTTTTAAGGTTAAGTGCCATTGCCCGGTATACCATACACTGATGTTTTTTTAAGGTTAAGTGCCACTGCCCGGTACATATTTGCCCGATACTCCAAACACTGTTGTTTCTTCTAATCTATCGTCAGTAAGTATTAAAATATAATAATATTAACGAATAAATTAATATAAAATTGGATATAACAAATATTTCGGACATACACCAAGCGACTACGTGAATGTTGACATTCACCGCTGAGAGTCGACATTCTCCAGATTTTGGTCATTCACCGTAACATATGTATATATACACACACTTTACGCTTTTATACACTTAACTGATCTAGTTAAGTGTTATAGAGTTAATTTGAAAAATGATCATTAGGGCAGATTATCTTTTTTAGACTTAAAACAGTAGTAGTGGTCCATTATAATTAGTCATCTGAACATAACTTTCTATTACAGTAGTACAACTAACATACCCTAGTTTGAAATTTCTTTTTCCTATCTGGTAATAAATATATCTTTATGTATGGATCTGATGTCCCAGAGAAATCTTTCGCTGGAAGATCCCGGGCTTGAAGAACCTATTTGAAAGTGAAAAAAATTATTAATTATTAGATAAATGAAATTAATTATTGTTCCAAATATAATTCATACTCGAAGTTATAAATGAAGTTAAATAAAGATAAATATGAAGCTCTTGATTATACTTCTTTATCATAAATGTTTGTATTAATAAAATATTATTCATGCTCAAAATTGTGAATTAGGTTAAAAACAGATAAATACAAAGCTTTTAATTACACTTCACTATTATTATTATTATTTGATAAATCATTGTAACGATTGTTCAGATATAAATTTACGGAGTGTGCTACATTTTAAAGTTAATCTTGTGACAGATACAACGAATTTAATGGCAGGCATTTAATGTCTGATGATGTGCGACTTACCTTTAATTCCCCGATTTCAGTTATTTTTTTAGGAAATAACAACAGACTAAAACAAAATTGTTACCATTATCTGTACTCTAATTATGGTGCAACTTAGTACCGTAACGCAAAATGTGCAATCAATTTAACCCGCTTTGTCTCGACTCTGTATATTGAAATGATACAAGAAGTGGTTTTATGGAAAAGGTGGTATAATATATTATCGAAATTAATTGGTTTTCAAAAAGTCCTTGATAGATCAAAAAGTACTTGCTCATTTTAATTCTAGATCTAGTCAAAAATAACTAAATCATTGTGATATCTGAGAATCTTTTAATTCACCCAGATAAATGAAAATTCTGAAAAAAGTTTCCCACCACAATGAATGTCTTTGAAAAAAGGAACTGTCCTAAATAAATGACGCTGGGCGTTAACCGGTTAATATATATCAGATAAATAGTTATTAAATGCAAAAAAAAATTAGAAAAAGAAAAGAAAAGTAATAACTTATGATTAATTTAACTGGTATATTATCAATGTAAAAATTGATTTTTAGTGTGTAGTGGAAAATTAGCATGATATATGAACATTTTATATTTAATAAGTAGAAAATTTAAAATAATGCATCGATCGATTTTTAACCTGCAGGAAAAAATTGGAATGTATATAATTAAAATTTTGGTCATTTTAAAATGCAGAAAATTCAAAACGTATCGTTGATAGATTCAAAGTCTGCAAGGAAAAATAAGCTTAAAATAAAATATTAGCATAAAATTTAATTAGCATTAAAGTTTTAGTTATGTTAAAAACCCGAACGTTGGTTTGTCCCAATGCTTGATCCAGAAGAGTCCTTGTTTTCTGGGTAGGGTTCAAAATACAGGGCTACGGAATTGAACATTGATAGTCGGAAACTCAGAATTGGGTCATTTATTCAACGCTGGTTATAAAATAAAATAAAATTCCAAATAAAAGGGAAATACTCATTTTTTTAAAATTCAATTACAATTGGATAGTTGCAAACCTATTTTAGTCGTGTTTTTAATATTTTTGCACCTGAGCAAAAGGAAAAATTTTATTTCAATTGATACAAATAAAGTAAATACTTTGCTTCAGAACAACTGCCCATTTAATCGAAGTTGTTAATAAGGAGTTACTGTGTTCTGTAACGTTAACCTCATATAAGAAAGTTATTGAAAGCTACTAACTTAAATTAAGTAAAACTTTTAAATATGTCACCTAATACAATCGATTTTAACGTAAATGTAAAACAAAATGCAGATTAAAGTGGATGAAACATATGTAATTATATGTACTTCACATTAACTAACAACACCATTAGTAAACTCTATATGTCTGTCAAATTGTCAGACAGGTTCATTATTCACTTGTAATAGTCAGTAACTTTTTAACCACACCTTGCTTTGACCTGAAAGTCACGAATGGCACCTAGACTTCTGATTTCCTAATGCATCAAAACTTAACTCTTTATTTCAAAATGATTTCCATAAACAATGAATTGCTTTTGTGGCTGAGTCTTTTGTATGATTCTTAGATTATGGATTTAATACATTAGATTAAATGAATTTCAAGTATTATGTCAAAACTCTTCAAAGTAACCAGTTGGATGATTGTTGATTGAAACATTGTATATCAAATATATTGACCAAGCTTCAGATATATACCAAATCAATTAATATTTTTAGTTAGAATTATTATATTATTTTTAATTAATTCATTATTAATAATATTAATCAATTCATTATTAATAATAATCAATCAATTAATAATTTTAGTTAGAATATGAGGTGAATAGATTGAATATTTTTTTATACTATGTGTATCTTTGTACAAAGCAGTTCAGTTTTCATTCATTTTCTTTTAATATAATTTTAAAACACAATGAATTACTCTTGTGGCTGAGTCTTTTGTATAATTCTTGGATCCTGGATTTAAGACATTAGATTAAATGGATCTCAAATACTATGTCAAAACTTCAAAGCAACTAGTTGGATGATTGTTGAAACATTCTATATCAAATATATTGACCATGTTTCAGATATATACCAAATCAATTATTGTTTTTAGTTAGAATTAATTATATGAGGTGAATAGATTGAATATTTTTAATACTATGAGTATCTTTGTACAAAGTAGTTCAGTTTTCATTCACTTTCTTTTAATATAATTTTAAAACATAATGAATTATTTTTGTGGTTGAGTCTTTTGTTTGATTCTTGGATTATGGATTTAATACATTAGATTAAGTGAATTTCAAGTATATTATGTCACACAAAACTTCAAAAAACCAGTTGGATAATTGCTGAAATATTCTATAGAAAATATATTGACTGTTTCGCATATGTACTAAATGAATGTTTTAAATTAGCATTATTTATATAAGATGAATAGATAATTAGATATTTTATATTATGCATGCAAAGTAGTTCAGTTTTCATTCGTTTTATTTCAATATAATTTTAAAAAAATGAATTGATTATGTAGCTGAGTCTTTTGCATGATTCTTAGATTATGAATTTAATACATTATATTAAATGAATGTAAATGTCACGAATTATGTCAAAACTTCAAAGCAACCAGTTAGACAATTGCCGAAGCATTCTACAGCAAACATAAATCAATAAATGTTTTGAGTTAGGATTAATTATAGGTTGAATAGTGAATTGAATATTTTAATATAATGTATATTTTCATACAAACTAGTTCAGTTTTCATTCAATAAAAACATTTATTTACAATTTAGCAAGAAAAATAATTATTATATCTAGCATTAACCCCTTGGGGACGGGTGATTCACGAAAGCATTCGTACAAAATCAGAATCAGGGTGTAAATAAATAAAAAACGGTAGCTTAAATGTAGGCGTTGCTAATTTGACAGACTTACTTTGCTTTGACTTTAATTATTGTTAGTTTAATCATATATATATAATCAATGTTAGTTCAAAGTATAACTAAATAATTTTATTTTGAACTAAAGTAATGGTGAATTAAATAAATCAAACAATTATTTCCCCGCCCACAAATGAACTACTAAAGAATTACTTTGATTACCAGTTTTATCTTTTTTCCCTGGTTGATACGGTTTTATGCTGTCACGTATTTGCGACAGTCGGCGCGAAAGGGTTAAAGCAGTTATATTTTTTCCAAAAAACTATTTTTTTATTTTATGCTTTACATGTTTTGGAAATTTATTGAAACATATGTCACTGCAGGTATTGATAGAACACTGCGGTCACTGCCTCCGAGTTCACACAAAAGTTAAAAGTGGTGGCCAGTTTTTGTTTTAAGATAACCAAAATCTGAAATTCTTAGGATTCACTCTATTTTAAGAAACATATGTAAGATTTTAGAGCTTGATATAATCACTTCAATTATTTACCAGTCTTGGTAGAAAAAAATTTATTATTTCACCCAAACAATGATTAAAAAAATCATAACTTTCCGACCGCTTTTTTACTAACTTAATAAGACGCTGCTGTCTCTAAGATAGTTATTGAGACTGTGTATACAATAATTCGTCAAGTTTTGTTTTAAGACAGTCATATGAAACCAAAAAGGCACTTATGGCAAACAGTAAGCAGAAATAAAATAAATAAATTATGGTTGATAGATAGTTATTGAGACTGTATAGACTAAGATAGTTATTGAGACTGTCAATACAATAATTCGTCAAGTTTTGTTCACATGAAACCAAAAAGGCACTTATGGCAAACAGTAAGCAAAAATAAAATAAATAAATTATGGTTGAATAATTGTTGAACAAATAAAATTCAAAAACACCGGCAGCGATGCCAACTTGCTCCGGACAGCAAATAAATATTTTCGATTGGTAGTTTATTAATTGTGGTTCTTGGTTTAATAAATTACATTTTTATCCGCCTCTAATTCTAAATAATTCGTGGGCTTATATGATTCGCCAGCAAAATTAGTTAAATATTTGTAAATTTTAGTTTGTAGTTATTTGCCGTTTTTTAAATTAATTTGGCGTGTCCGGAGCAGTTGGCATCTCTGACACCGTATTTTTAAACTTTCATTTTTTAATGTCTATTCAACAAATTTCGTTGAAATGTGAAGTTTTGTCTTTAAAATAATGTTGCTTAAAAGGGTGTATAACTTGCAAGCGTTACGATTCATAATTTTTCGACCATTATTAAAGGAAATAATAAAAGAAATCACAGCTAAAAATTCTTTTTACAACTTTGAATTAACGAGGTTTATATTTGTATGATTTTAATTTGCTTAAAAAGTTTGGAGATAATCGTAAAAATTAAAATTGTTTCTAAGGGTTCCAAACTTTTGACTGCACATCTGAATAAACTATTGAGACCATATTTTTTAGAACCTCTCAAATTTTGATGGTCAAAAGAGTAAAATCGACGAAAAAAGGTATGTACTTTGAGAGAAAAAGTACTTTTTTGTGTCTGATTCCGTGACTTTATGTTTCTTTTAAAGATTTAGTTTAGGTTATTTTTTTATAAAATATATTTTCTCCAGAAAAATGAGGCTCGAGTGCTTAAGCCTAAATCCCTTACCCTCCAAAGTCCCTTTTCACATGATAAATATTCAGCTTTCAAAAATTTATCTCGTACAAAAGTAATGGAAAATTTGAAAATGTGAGATCATTATCCTAATA